TGTCCAAGTGACCTTAATCTGAAACAGAAGCGGAGAGAGAGGGGTCGGGGTGGACTTAACAAGGCTGCAAGGGAATGGAGAAAGAAAAGATTGTTCTTGGGGTATATTGAAAATAATTGTTTTGAAAGAATGAGGCCAATAAACTGGAGGCCGCTGACTGACAAAGCCCTAATGTGACCCTGTTCTGACACTCGCTTATCAAAACCTGTTACATTTCTGCTGTGTCATCATAATATACCATGTGGACACACATAAAATCATTCGGCTTCACCCATTTGACCTTTTTAACCACAATTTAAGACGATTATCCCATCATTTTGAATTAATCTGATTTCACCAAATATTTAATCCACCAAATCAAAGGTTTCTATAAATATGTAATTTACTCATTAATTATTCATATTTCATTTACATCTGTGCCATAGCAGGGATGAGCAGCAGCTGTTAGAGCCATCAATCCATTTGTGGATGCCTCCTGGTCCCCACCCTGACCTCAGAGGAGTTCAACAGACACTCGCAATCTCATCATTTGAAAGGCATGTCAAAGTTTTATAATGGATGAAGACGATTTAACCTAATTTCTGATGCCACAGAAGGCATGCAACATCTCATGGGCAATCTTTAAAAAATATGCATCTTTAATGAAGCCATGGGTGTGAATATGTCCTTATTGCCGGTTGGGTGCTTTAATCTCTGTTGATGTGGTAGAAAATCAGATTTAATAGATTAACTGGATATTTAAAATTCGCAAACGTTGATAATCCTTTTGTTATAACACTTATAGTAAAAAGAAAGCTTTAAATATATTTATGAAATTCTCTACTATCATTCTCCATCGCCCCACCCTTCCCATCATCCTCCACATGACCACGGTCAATTTCTGCACATCGATAAAAAGACGAATTTAGTTCAAACTAAACAAAATTGTTAAGGTATGCGGTTGTAATATTAGTTCCACGTGTCATGGCTCGCGCACTGGTCCTGACAGCTGGTTAAAGGGCTCGTGGCACTGATAACGGGTAGTACCGAGAGAGCTGCTGTTCACATCTGATCCGCCACACCCGGTGCACGGTCAAGAATGAGAGAGAGAAAGAGGACAGACCCCCCATTCCCCAGCGAATCCATTCACCCACAGCTCTGATTTACAGACAGAGATTTATAGTTGGAGTCTACGGAATTTGAGCATCATTTATTTAGATAAGCTATACAGATCCTGTTAAAGAAATAGTGTGAACGAATGAGGAGTGGGATCCGCATATTTTGGGCGTGAATAAAAGGGGTTCAGATGAGGCAAAAAAAAAGAGACAAAGATTATTGTACATAAACTGGGTCTATAAAACTGCCCAACGTGTTGCCATAGTGTAATGCATTATTAATAACCTTTGGTAAGGGTGCAAAGCAAAATAAAACAGGTAGCCTATGTTCTGCAAAATATGCCTAATATATTTAATATGCTGAGAAACAATAAGAAGAGCAAATATTTCTATTTTAGATTAGGTAAAGACTTTGAACTAAAATTGCACGGATTCATTGTTGCATTCTGAGACTCTTTTGCTGTTATTTAGTCGTAGCTGTTAAATATAAATGACTCACTTTTTACTCTGAAAAACTGTTCTTACCTTGGCACCGATTTGGTTTCCGCACTGACCGGCCTGGATATGAACAATCTCCCTCATTGTTAGAAATTGTGTGAGAACTTCTCAGATAATCCTGAAAAGTAACGGCGTGGCTCACTAATCATTTGGAAAAACCGGACAAAGGCTTTATATTTCTGGATTGTCTCCAGATCGAGGCTGGAATAGTAGTGGGCGGGGCACTGCTGGATGTTGAGAAACCTGATTGGTCCAAGACACATTTTAGTGACGGGGATTGGAGTGCAGACCGGAAGTATATAGGGAGTGCCAACAAGGATTGTAATTGTATGTCGAAAAAAAGAGAAAAGTCTGCTGATTGTATCCAGTTGTGCTTTTCTTATTAAGGTTTTTTAGTCACATATTTAAAGCAAATGTCCTTCCTGACTAATGCTTTTACATCCGGTTGATTTGTAGCTTTACTATCTAAGAGAAGAGTTTAAAGCAGTATGGCCAATGCGAAGTCTGGTAATAATTGTATCTTCTCTTCTACTACCAAAATTAACTCTTTCAACCCCAACTTGATTTTGAATATGATAAAGATGCCTTCCTCTCTCCTCCTTATTCCAAACTTCTTGCCATCTAATTTTTATTGCTGTTCTAATTTTAGCCTTAACTTCTTTCTTCTGGTATAATAATTTCTATATGTGATAATTTCAGTGCCTGTTTTGCTAAATGATCCGCAACCTCATTTCCATCCACTCCCACGTGTGCTGGAACCCACAGGAAACATATCTTAATTCCTATCTTAGTCACTGTATACATGCATAAAAGAATTTCATACAAAATGTCTTGTCTTGAAGATCTTCCACTGATGAGACTTGATAATGCAGAGAATGAATCTGAACATATCACCGCATTCATTGGCCGAGTATCCTCCATCCACCTGATAGCTAATAATATTGCTACCATCTCTGTGGTGTAAACTCCTACTTGATCAGAAACTCTTTTACCAATCTTGATTTAAGTTGGTTTACAGCTGCTGATGCTTGTCCTGTCTCGTGATCTTTGGAACCATCAGTGAAAATTCAGATTGCGGAGTTGTAATTCTGTTGCTACCATCTCTGTGGTGTAAACTCCTACTTGATCAGAAACTCTTTTACCAATCTTCATTTAAGTTGGGACAAATACAGCTGCTGATGCTTGTCCTGTCTCGTGATCTTTGGAACCATCAGTGAAAATTGAGATTGCGGAGTTGTAATTCTGTTCTAGATACAGTTTGACATCTTTTGCTATTACTCTATTTTTGTCATTAATAATTTCTTGCAAATTAAAGTCTACTAATGGTAAAGGGAATAACCAAGGTGAAATGGGTGACACTACTACTGCAGGGCTCATTTCTACATTTATTATTCCACATGACTGGGCTTCTTCTTCTGCTATCCTTCCAAAACTTCTAAACTTGTCTGACTCATGTTCCCAACGTTTTCCCAATACTTTTTTAATTGCATGAGTTTCATCATGTCCCTTTACAGAAATCCAATAAGTCAACATCAACTTTACTCTTCTAATATCAAGTGGCAGCTCTCTGATTTCTACCTTGTAACCTACCTACCTAGGCTGTATTTTGAATGAATCTTTAATGTGACTCAGGAAGAACGAGTCATCTCGGGAAGTGATTCGTTCAGTCGCGCATGCGCAACATCCTATAGGTTCTGTACTGGAATTAGTCAAATAGTTCACCTGTTTTGAGTCTTCGGGTTTTTCCGAGTCATTCGTTCATCACGTGACAGCCCCATAAACTTTAACCAATGCAGTCTGAGCCAGAAAGAGAATTGATTAGTTCATCTCTCCAGTTTTCGGATTTTTCGAGTAGATCGTTCATCACGTGACAGCCCCATACGCTTGCCCTATGCAGACTCAGCCGGAAAGAGACTTAATAATAATAATAATAACCAACTCTTTATTACCTTTGTTACAACATTCAGTGTTATGGAAAATAACCATCATGACAGAAATTCACACATTTAGAAACTGTAAGAAGTAAAAAGCTACAAAAAGAACTAATCAATTCTCTTTCCGGCTCAGACTGCATTGGTTAAAGCGAATGGGGCTGTCACTTGATGAAGGAACGACTCAAACCCGAAGACTTGTCCGATAAGAGGTGAGGTGAGCTAATCATAGACTGAAGACCCAGGTAAACAATGAATTAATCTTTTCGGTTTCTTATTGCAGTTTTGTATTGTTCGTAGTAATAGTGTGATCAACGTTTGCGTTAGTAGACGTGTTAGGGAAGTAACACGTGACATTTTTATTGTATTTTGCTAAAATGAACGAAATGACTCGGAAAAAGATTCGTTCATTTTGCTGAACGAGACTCAAAGGTCCGAGTCGGTAAAATGATCCGAACTTCCCATCACTAACGCCCAGAACTGTAGTGACTGTAGGGAGCTCACAGTGTTGTGAATGGGCGCGGCCGAGTTTGCGTGGTTACGTCGAGCTCTTGCCTTCGACACAAGTGAGACGGTCCGAGCCACATTTACTTCGTTTTTAACGACACATCAGCAATCGGTAAGAGCATGTGGGTTTATCTAAATATCACGAAGTTTCTGAACTTGTGGTTCTCAACACCAAAGTAAACTTTAGTCGCGTGAAATGCAACATAGCCGCTGCTAAGTAGTAGCAAAGAGTAAGGAAGCCCAAGAGGCGAAACTCTAGTGATAAGGGCAACAGTCAATAGATGGCGCTGCGGAGGCGCTGCCGCCATTTTGGACTGAAAACTGCTGAAAGTCGCTAGAAGAGGCGAGACAGCAAGCGGGCGAAACGCAAGCATTCTACTCCTTTCTTATGTCTTACAGTCTTACAATCTCTTTTAGATTTTGCTGTTGCTATGGAGCGTTCTATTGAGTTTCGCCTCGTGGGCTTCTATACTCTGGTAGTAGCCAAGCATTTCCTGTTCTGTTGCAAAATACATTAGAGACTCTAAACACGTACAGATTGATATAGTTCTACATATTCGCACGTTTTATTCTAGCTTGTGTTTTCGGACCTCAGTTAGGTGTTATTGTGAGAGGCGTTTATTTATCGTCGAGGTTTAATGTTCATTATGGCATAATATATGCATGTTGGTTTTTGTCGTTTAGCCTTTACAGTGAGTTTTTGATTATTAATATTTAGATGCAGAACTTAATAATTGTGTCGTTTATATGAAGATTTTGTATATTGTGTAATGTAAGTTTTGCATTTGTGATATAAACTAACCTGTTGCACAGCATTATGCAGATCTCTGCTGCTAAGTAGTAGCAAAGAGTAAGGAAGCCCAAGAGGCGAAACTCTAGTGATAAGGGCAACAGTCAATAGATGGCGCTGCGGAGGCGCTGCCGCCATTTTGGACTGAAAACTGCTGAAAGTCGCTAGAAGAGGCGAGAGAGCAAGCGGGCGAAACGCAAGCATTCTACTCCTTTCTTATGTCTTACAGTCTTACAATCTCTTTTAGATTTTGCTGTTGCTATGGAGCGTTCTATTGAGTTTCGCCTCGTGGGCTTCTATACTCTGGTAGTAGCCAAGCATTTCCTGTTCTGTTGCAAAATACATTAGTGCCTCTAAACACGTACAGATTGATATAGTTCTACATATTCGCACGTTTTATTCTAGCTTGTGTTTTCGGACCTCAGTTAGGTGTTATTGTGAGAGGCGTTTATTTATCGTCGAGGTTTAATGTTCATTATGGCATAATATATGCATGTTGGTTTTTGTCGTTTAGCCTTTACAGTGAGTTTTTGATTATTAATATTTAGATGCAGAACTTAATAATTGTGTCGTTTATATGAAGATTTTGTATATTGTGTAATGTAAGTTTTGCATTTGTGATATAAACTAACCTGTTGCACAGCATTATGCAGATCTCTTCTACTGTAAAGTGCTTTTTAGATTAGGTTTACTATTTATTATATATATATATTTATTATATTTGGTTAACTAACAGGTCCGTGATTTGAAAGTGAAAAGAGCTGTAGGTGTTTTACAGGAAAGCAATGAGAAGAGCAAACTCACATGAGAGACATAAACTAGAAGTCATCATCATATTCCACTGAACTCTTGAGATTAACTAGTGCTGTCTGTGTTTACTGGGATGTCATATCTAAAATATTCCCAGCATGTGTCGGTCTAGTGACTGATGCCTTTTAACTACTGCGGTTTTCTTTCTTCAGATCTAATTCAGGATGTTTTACACCTGTGGTCCCAATGAGGCGATGGTGGTCTCAGGTATGCTGCATCTGTTGGGCTTTGTTACACAGTTATGTCAGTTATGTATATAAATAAACATAGAAGTAAAAATCCTACTTCAAGTTTACAATAATGATAATATATGTACATACGATCAAAAAAGAACTTAAAGGGGGCATGTGATGCGATTTCAAGTTTTCCTTTCTCTTTGGAGTGTTACAAGCTGTTCGTGAATAGATAAGATCCCTAAAGTTGCAAAGACTAAAGTCTCAAACCCAAAGAGATAAAAGTTAAGACTTGTCCACGCCTACCTAAAACGCCTCGTTTTAAACACGCCCCCACATGTCTACGTCACTGTGTGGGAAGATTTGAGCAGCGTAGAGTAGCGCTTGTTTTTTGCCATTTCTCCGATCACAAATGCAGACATGGTTTTATGTTTATGCGATGCAACGCAACACGTAAAAAGACAGTATAAGACTTCTAAGTCATTATAATCCGTAATTATGTCCCCACTGGTTGCAACAAATGCCTCGTTTATAATGGGTTTTAATGTTTTTGTCTCGTTGCTCCATCACAGTATGGTAGGGGCGTAGCATTTCCGTCACACGATTGAGGTATTCGGCCAATCATAATGCACTGGATAGCTGGCCAATCATAGCACACCTAGCTTTTCAGACCAATGAGCTTTGTAAAAATCGACGTGTTTCAGAAAGGGAGGGCATAGAGGAGAGACAATAATGTACAGTATGTGGAAAATAATGAGTTTTTTGAACCTTAAACCACAAAATAATGTTCTTTTTAGCAATATCATATGACCCCTTTAAAATTAAAACAGCTGTTGATAGAACCGGATAGCTTGTGGATTGAACTAAATAGTAACTAATGATTGAAACCCATCAGACTTTTACAAGAAACTGTGGAGTTCTGTAATGATCATAGAGATCAATGATATTGTGCAAACTACATTCTTTCTTAAACAATGTCCAAATGCAGAACTGGTTTCAGCTGTTCATGTGACTTTCATTCACAGGTCAAAACGGACACAAAGTTCACTGTAATGGTTGTGATTTTTTTTGTGTGTAGATAAATGTCAGTGGTTACACATTAAGATTACTTTAATGCTCAGGGGAAAAACTGCAGCAGGCTCACATTTACTACAACAAGGTTAATGCAGTCAAACTGCACAGTGCAGAGGGGCAAAAAAAATAAGTTACTAGCTCTATTATGTCTCACTCTGTAAACCGTTGACATGCCGCTGGAGACATGCAATGGCAGGAAGTGTGCTAATGAGTGTCTTTGATAATGTTGGAAATCCTGCTTGGGATTGACATTTTCTTGATTGCAGTTTTGTTGATAGGAATAGTCATACTTTTTATTTTTAAATGTTGTAAAAATAAAAAGTCTCTTACTACATTGATCAAAAATACAATGTCATATCGCAAAATATTTTTACAATTGAAAATAACTGTGGAAACTGTGATACCGAGTTTTTTCAGGATTATTCGATGAATAGGAAGTTAAAAAGAACGGCATATATTTGACATTACCGACTTACTTTTTTTTTTTTTGTATAATAAAATAAATAAATATAAAATATCGTTTCATTGCCAGTAATATTTCCATTGGTAGATACTGGTTATTTAATTGTCTTTCTCCCCCTATTTTTACCTTCAGATGATGCTTGCTTAATTTTTAATAACACTTCATTCAGTTATAATACTATAATTTTCATATTCATTTATTTAGTCAAAATGGTATTAAACTGTATTATTGACCATTTATCATTTACCAGCCATAACATAAAAATAATCATCAATTTATCTGTATCTGTCAGAATTTTAATAAGAGCATTCATATAATTGTTTTATATACACCGTTACCGTGATATTAAATTACGGTTTCTATACTGTAAGATTTTTCATTTTGGATATACCTCCCTCCAACCCCTAGCTAGTGAATGGCCACTAAGTATGTTTTCAATCAAGTATTGACACTTTTTACCAGCAAACCAAATCTCTCTTTCAGGATGTGGCCGCTCTCCTCCTCTAATGATTGCTGGTGGAAGAGTGTTTGTTTTTCCCTGCATTCAGCAAATCCAGCGGTATGTATAGAATTACAATAGAAGACGGAATATTAGAACATGTTAGTGCAAGAACACACGTGCATAAGAACCTTTTTTTTTAAACCAGGTGCTGCAGTGCATGTCAATAATGTAATTCCAGAAAAGAGTGGGAGTCCCGGGCCTCATGAGCGATGAGGTGGCCCTGTGTGCAGTAAAGACTCCACTTGTGTTTACATTCCTCTCCACGTATACATGGCGAGGATTAATGAATCACTCAGTCTTTAAAGAATATTTTCTTCTCATTTTGTAGATCACTGCGGATCACTGCAGTAGTTTGAAGATTACTGCGGATGAATTTGCCTTAGCTTCACATAGTTTTGATAATTTGATTACTGTACATCAGCAGTCACATCTGTGAGGTCAAGCTCAGCCATCATTGTGCAGAACTATATGAGGGTGTTGCTTGATTTTGGGGGCAGGGCTATCTATTTGCCCAAATAATGGGAGACAATAGATACAATGGGTATAGCAAAGAATCACCTCCCTTTAAAATAATCACATTTTGTTGCTTTGCAGCCTGAAATGAAGACGGGCACAGTTTTTGTTTTATTCAGCTGTATTTACTCAGTGCAACTTATAATGTCCAAGTGAAAGATATAACACCAATATGTCAGAAAAAAATTAAAATACAGCTGGATAAAACAAAAGCTGTGTCTGTCTTCATTTCAGGCTGCAAAGCAACAAAATGTGATTCTTTTCTGTACCCACTGTATGTTTGGTTATGGGAGCTTGTATTAAGGGTAATTGTGATATTTTTTTTTTCTCGCAATGCTGAGTTTATATCTCATAATTCAGACTTTTTTTCTTTCTTTTTTTTAATTCTGAGAGAAAAGTTCTGAGAAAAAAGTTAGAATTGTGAGGAAAAACATTTTTATTTTTTATTTTGTGGCAGGAAAAAAAACAGAATTGCGACATGTAAACAGAGAATTCACAGTAAAAAGTTAGAATTGCCAGGAAAAAAATGACAACTAAATTGTGAGATAAAAAGTCAAAAGAGTTTATCTTTAAAAAAAATTTTTAATTCCTTGGTGGAAACCTATTCCCATATTCGGGAAACCTGTTTGGGAAATCCAATTTTTTGAGAAGGGTCTGGCTGCAGCCTCGCACTTGCACTCTAAGACTTGCATTCTCAGACACTTGCGCTTCCGCTAGAGACATCACTTGCAGGCTTTATTTTTTATTTTGTTCTATTTATTGATTACTTTTTGTTTGAATCTCAACATTTTACGACACAAATCGTGCGTGTTGCCAATGGAGACCAGACGCTGTGGTGATTAAACGATTAAAACTAATTTAGTACTATAACATTCAGGGTCCTGCAAGAAAAAGACAAGACCCACAAATCTGTGGCCACAGAACAGCAGAATATGAACGCAATGCACAAAGTCTCTGGTTAAGCGTTTTCCTCCTGTAGAAAAACATAAACACTTAACATGGCTTAATGTATTAAGATGCTATTAAATATACAATATATTAATATAATGAATATGTATATAGTATTTTCCTCCCATACCACAAAACGTGGCATAATGGACTAAAAAGGCCAAACTTATTAATATACATAACTTATATGTACAGGCAAGCAGGTGAGCCCAGAATAATGCAACATGCACAGTTTTGTGTTAAGCGTTTTTCCATAGAGAATAAACTGTCTACAGCTCTTTTATATCATTGTCTTGGTCCATTAAGCTACATTACGTGTTTTATTTATAATGATTTTCTATGGGAGGAAAATGTTTAACGTGCAATTTAACGCATTGTGTTCTGGGCTCGTCTGCTTGCCTGTACGGAGTTGATCCTTTTAAAATCACTTAATGCATTTCAAAATGCACGTTCATATTTGTTGGTCTGTATATACTTTGAGTCAACAACAAGACATATAGGCTACTGTATTGTCTTTATCATCTTAGTCCATTATTATACAACATTAAGCGTTTTGCTTTATGGGAGGACAAGTGAAAGTTTACGCATTGTGTTCATAGCCATTTGTTTGCCTTGTAGTACATTAAATAATAACTATATATCGAATTTGATCTTTTAATTTAACTTAATGTATCTTAATACATTAAGCCGTGTTTATGTTTTTCTACAGGAGGAAAACGCTTAACCAGAGACTTTGTGCATTGCGTTCATATTCTGCTGTTCTGTGGCCACGGATTTGCGGGTCTTGTCTTTTTCTTGCAGGACCCTGTATGTTATAGTACTAAATTAGTTTTAATCGTTTAATCACCACAGCTTCTTGTCTCCATTGGCAACACGCACGATTTGTGTCGATTGCAAGTGACGTCACAGGTAGCGGAGAGTGCAAGTGGCGATTGCAAGTGACTTCGTAATTTAGTTCCTTTCTTCTTGTCTTCACCACCTGGCTACTGTTGTAAAATGTTGAGTGATTCAAACAAAAAGTAATCAATAAATAGAACAAAATAAAAGACTGCAAGTGACGTCGCTAGCGGAAGCGCAAGTGTCTGAGAGTGCAAGGCTGCAGCCAGACCCTCTTGAATTTTTTTTGCAATTTCATTAGGATGGCGTGTAAATCTGCCTTTGTTTTTTTTTTTTTGTTGAAAAAATACTTTGACTACTTTTTCACTCGTTTTTCTTTGCTCCCAGGATCTCTCTCAATACTCTGACTCTGAATGTGAAGAGTGATAAGGTCTACACCAGACATGGAGTACCAATCTCGGTTACGGGCATTGCTCAGGTTAGAGAGACACATTTTACACTCATCTGTTGCACACATCTGTTGTACAGTCTGTAAGCGCTGCTGTTCATGTGTCCTGCAGGTGAAGATCCAGGGTCAGAATAAAGAAATGCTGGCCGCAGCCTGTCAGATGTTCATGGGGATGTCGGAGGTTGAGATTGCTCAGATTGCCCTAGAGACCCTTGAGGGACATCAGAGAGCCATTATCGCCCACCTGACTGTGGAGGTACTGCCATGTGCTAATAGAGCTGTTTGTATTCTGTATCACACACAAAGAGATGGAAGAATCAAGCTTTTTATAAGAAGATGGCAAAGGCGACTGGAGGGTTTTAGTGCTGAAATCAACAAGCAACCTTTGTTGTCTAAAACATTTGATGTGCAACTAACTGTACTGCTGCTGTTAGCTGTTTATTTATTTATTGTACAATCTCTCTCTCTCTTTCTTTCTTTCTGTCTGTAGGAGATCTATCAGGACCGTAAAAAGTTCTCTGAGCAGGTCTTTAAGGTGGCTTCCTCTGACCTGCTCAACATGGGGATCGGTGTCGTCAGCTACACGCTCAAAGATGTGCATGATGATCAGGTGACTATAATCATGCAGCACACACCCTAACATACAGTACCATTCAAATGCTTGTGGTCCGTAACTTATAAATATATTAACATGTAGTAAATAGATTTTAAAACGTAGTTTATTTTTGTGATGGCAAAGCTGAATTTTCAGCAGCAATTTCTCCAGTCGTCAGTGTCACATGACACTTCTGAAATCATTCTAATATGCTGATTTGCTGGTCAAAAAATATCTTATAACGGTTGTGCTGCTTAATATTTTTCAATATTTTGATGCATAGACAGTACAAAATAACATCTTTCCTTGAGTCCTTGCTGAATAAGTGTTAATTTCTTCCAAAAAGAAAATCTTACTGACCTCAAACTTTTTAAAAGGTAGTGTATAATCGTAATGTATATGTATGTCTATATATATCACTCAACCGAAACTCACTTGAACTTTCTCACAGAATTATCTAAGCTCGCTGGGTAAAGCTCGTACCGCTCAGGTGCAAAGAGATGCCCGTATCGGTGAAGCTCAGTTCAAGAGGGATGCCGTCATCAGGGTGAACGTTTTTCTTATTTCTGTTATCATTGTTGGATGTGTGACGTTGGTGTCGAATAAAACGATGATAGAACTGTTCATGTGTGTGTTTGTGTATGTAGGAGGCTCACGCCATGCAGGAGAAGATCTCTGCTCAGTATAAGAATGAGATTGAGATGGCTAAAGCCCAGAGAGACTTTGAGCTGAAGAAAGCCGCCTATGACATGGAGGTCAACACCAAGAAGGCAGAGTCTGAAATGGCCTATCAGCTTCAGGTACCAAATGATCTTCAACTTGGTTTTCAGCTGGTAATATGAGGGTTGCCAGTTTACTGCAAACTGTTTGGCTGGTTAATGTTTCATGTCAAACTAGGCAAGTTCAACAAAAACGACAATTAAGTCACATCTACTGACATTTTTACTCGCCATCATCTGCATCAGGTGGCCAAGACAAAGCAGCGCATCGAGGAGGAGAAGATGCAGGTTCAAGTCGTGGAGCGTACGCAGCAGATCACTCTACAGGAGCAGGAGATCACCCGCAGGGAGAAGGAACTGGAGGCCAAAGTCCAGAAACCAGCTGAGGCCGAGAGATACCGCATTGAGAAGCTCGCTGAGGCAGAAAAGTGAGAACTGAGGAACTAATGCAGCGCTACACAAACATTGGGGTCCAAATGTTTTGGTGTTTTGTCTAATTTAACACAAATTTGTGCTTCAGTGGAAGCAAATCTGAAGAATAGATCTCATAGCTTGGTATGATAATCTCGGAGGGGAAAAACAACATTTAGGCCTGGTTTCACAGACAGGGCTTAGACTAAGCCAGGATTAGGCCATAGTTCAAGTAGGACATTTAAGTAATTTTTCATAAACTCGCCTTAGAAAACACATTTCTGGTGAGCATCTTGAGACAAAACAAAGGCACTGATATATTTTAAGATCAGTCCGTGCAAGTTTCTTTCAGTTGACAGCTCAGACTTGCATTTTAGTCTGGGACTAGGCTTAAGCCTTGCCTGTGAAACCGGGGGTTAATGTTCTCTTATCTAACAGGCTTCAGTTGATCATGGAGGCAGAAGCTGAGGCAGAGGCCATCAGAGTGAGTTCATGAATCTTGTTTCTTGCCGCTGAAAATGAGCGTTACTATTCTCATAAGACGCATACCCCGCTCAATATTCATCTTTTTCTGTCTCTCTTTCAGATGAGAGGAGAGGCAGAGGCCTTTGCACTGGAGGCAAAGGGTCGGGCTGAAGCCGAGCAGATGGCCAAAAAGGCAGAAGCCTTTAAGCAGTACAAAGAGGGAGCCATGGTGGACATGCTGCTGGAGAAGCTCCCACTGGTTAGTGCATCCGAAATTTTGAATGTCCATGAATAAATTCAGTGATAAGACCACTCAATAATGGCCTCCACTCCTCTAGATGGCAGAAGAGATCAGCAAGCCACTCTGTGCAGCCCAAAAGGTCACCATGGTGTCCAGCGGTGGGTCAGAAGTGGGCGCAGCTAAGCTGACAGGAGAAGTTCTGGAAATCATGACTCGCCTGCCGAGCGCAGTGGAGAAACTGACTGGAGTCAAAATCTCACAGGTGACCAGACTCACGTCAGCAATGAAATCTCTTTAGTGCTGGTATCAGGCAGCAGATCACTTGAGCTGCAGCGTCTGCGTTCACAGTGATAGTTGCTGTAATTCTTTTTTGTTGCAGTTGTCATTGAAAATGGAGCTAGGGAATACATATACCATTTTACTCAAAGTAAATATCAGTAGAAATCTAGTTAAAAATAATCAAGGCATATTTTCCACACCGTTTCTTCACTAAAATAAATACAAGAAGGAATGATATTTAAGTTTTTTTTATATTTATAGTTTATATTTTTTATATTATTATATGTACCTGTATTGACAGTACATAATGACAAACAGCAATATTTTCCAGCATTTATTTGTTACTGAAACATTTTAATTAAAAATTTAATTGAAATAGAGTTTGAACTGATTGAGGAAAATGTATCGAACTTAACAACTCTAAAAATGCTATTAAATATATTTTAAACTTGGCCAAATAAATAGCAGAGTTAAATCCTTGTGATATTTAATGTTGCAAAATTTTGTAATTAGCTAAATCTTTGTACATTTTCAGTATTTTAAGTAGTTCTTATTGAAAATGACTTTATTGATTTAAAAACCCGTGCCTGTGTGAATGCCCCTTAAGATTGCATACAGTAAAAATTGCTTTAAAACACACCTGCTCCAGCCACACTACATTTTGTTAACTTTTGTTTTGGCAGGTTGTTTCAACCCGCATGGGCTAATGGAGTTCATGAGGAAGGAATCGGGTCTGATCAGCTCTGATCGTGGATCTCAGCTCTTCCTGTCTGTGTGCATGCCTGTGTTTGTACTGAACCTGGAACATTGTGCTCCTTTTTGTTTTTGTAATCCACCATTTGTAACATTCAGTTTTTATATTCTAGTTTGTAAATTATTTTATCACATTATATGATCATTTTATAAGTTAGGTGTACTACATCATCTGCTCCAGAGCCACTGTTAACGGTGAATATTCAGGGAAGCAGGGCTGGTCTTCCTTTCATTTTTTGAGTAGTTTCTGTATTTCTTGTCTGTCAGAGCCACACGCATGTTGATTCTGGTGCAGTTTCTTTCAAAACCGAAGTGCATTCAAGTCAAATGCATGTAAATTCACCTGAAGTGCATTACTCAAGCCATAGTCCACGTGCATGATGCCTCACGTCTGCAGACACTGAAATGTGACGCTTTCTTGCCGTTTTAAGGTTTGTCATTCAATGGTCTGTGCAGGCCTTTTCCTTTAAACTGTGGCACAGTTTGCAGACATAATAAAAAAAATTTGGAATATAATAAATTAATAAATAAATAAAAAATCATAATTTTTTTGTTACTGTCTGTGTGCTCAGTAAAGTGATTTATACAGCAAGTTGAAAAGTAAGATGGGGTGGGAAGTGTGAAAAAAAGAAACCCTTTGATGTTTTGAAGCTGATGAACAAACAGGAAAAAAGAAGAGGAAACTGGTTAGGTATTAAACGCAGGCTGTATGTCTCTCTGCCCACAGAAACTCCAGTGAAGGCTGATGATGGTTTCATTTCTCATATCACTGTGAAAAAAAAAGAAGTTAGTCTTTTTGTTTTGCAATGCTGCTGTGTACTTCACTCTTCCTGTCTGTGTGCATGCCTGTGTTTGTACTGAACCTGGAACATTGTGCTCCTTTTTGTTTTTGTAATCCACCATTTGTAACATTCAGTTTTTATATTCTAGTTTGTAAATTATTTTATCACATTATATGATCATTTTATAAGTTAGGTGTACTACATCATCTGCTCCAGAGCCACTGTTAACGGTGAATATTCAGGGAAGCAGGGCTGGTCTTCCTTTCATTTTTTGAGTAGTTTCTGTATTTCTTGTCTGTCAGAGCCACACGCATGTTGATTCTGGTGCAGTTTCTTTCAAAACCGAAGTGCATTCAAGTCAAATGCATGTAAATTCACCTGAAGTGCATTACTCAAGCCATAGTCCACGTGCATGATGCCTCACGTCTGCAGACACTGAAATGTGACGCTTTCTTGCCGTTTTAAGGTTTGTCATTCAATGGACTGTGCAGGCCTTTTCCTTTAAACTGTGGCACAGTTTGCAGACATAATAAAAAAAATTTGGAATATAATAAATTAATAAATAAATAAAAAATCATAATTTTTTTGTTACTGTCTGTGTGCTCAGTAAAGTGATTTATACAGCAAGTTGAAAAGTAAGATGGGGTGGGAAGTGTGAAAAAAAGAAACCCTTTGAATTTTTGAAGCTGATGAACAAACAGGAAAAAAGAAGAGGAAACTGGTTAGGTATTAAACGCAGGCTGTATGTCTCTCTGCCCACAGAAACTCCAGTGAAGGCTGATGATGGTTTCATTTCTCATATCACTGTGAAAAAAAAAAGTTAGTCTTTTTGTTTTGCAATGCTGCTGTGTACTTCACACTAAAATCAACTCAACATCACCAAAGTTAAACCTATGCATTTGCAGTTTATGCCTTCAAAGTGCCTCGAAGCTATTTTTACTTCCTCCCTGAATCAGCCTGCTCTGATTGCGTTTCAGAAACAGGAACTGTGATGTGTCATGTGATACTTCCTGGCCTTAATTTTGTTCAGAATATTCCATTTGTTTGCCATTCGTTTTTTTTTTTTATTGGTGTAAAGCCTCATTATTGTTTTTATATATGACATACTGATCCAATTTTTGCCTTACTGTGTGTTCAATGGTGATGTACTGTAGATATATTCATCTTAAACTGAAGATCTCTATATCCAGGCTGAGATTTATACATATTATGTACCGTTTATTGTAAACAATAAACTATTAGTGTGTAACTTGTCAATTTATGGCTTTGTCTGAATGTGCATGTTTCCACAAATCTATGTTTAGTATTTAATGCCGTTTGAATATGAATGATAATGTGAAATGACACTACTCAAAATCAGCAAATTGTGTTCCAGCATAAGCGAAAATGAGGATATCTCTTTATTTGAAAAGGTTACTTTATTAAAACCCCTACAAAAATAGACAACACCGGCAATGACTCTGACTAACACAAGCAGGGAGTCTTAAAACAGAGACAGACCCGATTAATAACAGATAGCAATATTAATGAAGAAAATTATGTCCCATGAATTATTTACATTTTCCATTATTTATGAAACATGAATAGCTGAGGACAGAACATGCCCAAAACTATATTTATAAAAATACAATAAAGGTTCAGGGCCTCAGTGTACCAAAAAAAGATTAAAGGTCATTCAATAAGCATAATCAGCATGGTAATATAACCATTTGGGAATCACATTCTTCTGTGTATATTACAGTATATATGTTGCTCTCCTCTCCACCCCCACCTACACACACACACGTCTTACTCTTAAATGAGGAAGAGGTGGAGTCACCACACACCAGGTTCAAGTTAAATCTACAGTCTGCAGAATGCAATTACGTACTGTAGCTTTAAGAGTTTCCTGCAAGTGTCCTATAGGTTTACACAGTAAATTCAGGACAAATGCTTTGCTTATTTCTCATTATAGATGCAATAAATTTGTCATTCTTATTGGTATACATATACATGACTGGCCATTCTGCTTGTTTTTTCCCCCCTCTTTCTCTCTCTAAATTCTTCCAGGCTCATGCATTTTGATTTCTGGCGAGTCCAGGCTCATATTGAAGTCAGGTGGTTGATTGGCTGTCAGTGTTTTTAATGTTTATTTTGTTAAAAAAATTATTCTGAAATTGATTCTAATGATATTGTTTTGTGTCATTATCTTTGTAGTTGTGGTGTGGACATTGACAGCCAATCAGAATCCACCCAGCTTTACAGAGCTTGAGTATTTAATGTGGACGACAATATAACTGCAGCAAGTGCTTATAATAAAGAAAACATTGTCATCTATTGGTGTGGATGCTTTATTGTTATGGTCATTGTACTTGGTGTGAACAGGCCTTTATAGTCAGTGAAGGAAGGAGCGACTCTAAATGTTGAGATAACTGAGGAAAGGCCCACTCAAACCAAGTACGATAGCTATACCAACACACGATAATGCTCGGTTTATTATAAGCACAGGCAGCAGTTTTGTCTTCTGCAACTGCTTAAGCTCCTTAAAGCCAGATTCTGTCAATTTCTGTCAATGTCATCAGCTGGAAATGGGACGATGATTATAAAGTAATTGTAGTTATTGTCCTTGGTGTGAACAGGCCTTAAGGGACCATTTATGTGCAGACATACAGGGGCGGAGTCACAAATATCATTTTCTGTTTTGGCTGAATTTGATATGTAACAAGCCCGTGTTTTACATATCAGCATTGATGTACATAATTATAGAACATTTTGAATACACACCAAAAGCTCTTTTAAACGTGTTATTGACGTTTATCGACACTTTAAATGGTTCTCCAAGAGGTCAAAAAAACAAATTCATAACATTGAGATGAACATGTCTCACAGTGTTGAATGTTTAATGATCTGTGAGCATTTCCTAATGATGAATTACCCTCCACCACAGAAAAGACATGAAAAAGATTCTCTACATGAGCACGAATGCTAGCAAATGTTATTCACTATTTTCACTTAATATGCAAGTAGAAAAAAATATTTCTGTATTTCTGCTATAGTACGTTTTAATACGCATAATCAATAACCTGTCAAATGTTTCCTGTAGAGAACTATGACTAACTGGACAGTTTGTAGAGCCGTGTGCTTTTGTGCTGCCTGTCATCTAGCTATGAAACCCTCCACCAGTTCATATGATTATGTTTCAAGACCTATTCAGACAGTTTTGATACAGGTTAGAGGACTGGGATTTAAGGTTGAGATACCAAGCAACATTTTATCCTAAAATCAATCACATATTATTCCTGATAGCCCATCGTCAGCGCTTAGTCATCATTACTGGACCTCACAGAACACAAAAGACTTCAGTTTTATAGCAGGAAACATTTACTGAGAGGTTTCATTCTCAGGTTCACAGAGAAAATATGAGGCAGAATAATGTTTCAGGAAAGAAAGGATGACTCGGCCAATTCTGTGGTGCATTCTGGGAGATCTGTGCTCTGTGAAACTAAATACTGTGGAATAGTGATAAGTATTGAAGGGGGGGGGGGGGGCAGCGAGTTTAAAAATGATTTGGGGATAAAATGTTGCTTGAAGAGTTCAGGATTTCAGGATAAGGAGTGAGAAGTGGGTCTTTAGGGGCACCGAACCTGCGGCTTTTATTCGCCCCAACCCACCAATCAAAAAATACACTAATTTACATAAGAGTGCTTAGCCGTGTCTGCATAAAAACACACCACCAGTCTGTGGTCCACACATGCTTTCTTACATTCTTCCGCTTTTCATCTCTCTGTCACTTTCTAAACCATGTTCATAGCGTCTTCGGTGAGGAAGGAGTGAATGTACGCAAAGGAAGGCCGTAGTTTACAGTCTCTGCTCCAGCAGCTAAGCATCAGCTCATACAAACCCTGTGGGCACACAGCCGGGCGAGACAGGTACACCTGATCAAGAGAGAGAGAGAGAGACTATGCTTATTTTTTTCTTATGAGGGTTAATAATGTTAGCAAGCACACACACCTGTCTGCCCTGGTCTCTGAAAAACTCCCCAGCGTTGTCAATGACTTGTTCATCGGTCATGTGACTGTACGGCTGCTCCTGACACACACTCAGCATCTCCCACAGCGTCACGCCAAACGCCCACACGTCACTCGCCGTAGTGAACTTGCCCTACACACACACACAAAAATTGACCGACATTCAGGGAACCAGTATTATGCACATTATGAGCTAATACATTTGTATATGGATATGACATGTTGCTGATGTAATTTTATTATATACAGTGGGGTCCAAATATTTGGCTGAGATACAACTATTTGAAAAATCTGGAATCTGAGGGTGCAAAAAAATCTAAATATTGAGAAAATATAGAGAAAATCACTTTTAAAGTTGTCCAAATGAAGTTCTTAGCAATGCATATTACTGATAAAAAAATAATTTTAAATATATTTACAGTAGGAAATTTATAAAATATCTT